GGCTCACCCGGAGACCCCAGTCAGCGCACCCACATGTGCTCCTGGCTCCCACCGCGCATTCGGGGTAACTCCACCGACAGCAAGAAACACCCCTCACGGCTGCCGCTCAAAACCCCGCAAAGGCCGTGTCCCACTCACTATGGGGTTCCCATCCACGGGGACTTTGCACACGGCCGATCCGGCGGGACAGGCCACCCCGTGCATGGGGTTGAGCGGCTGGCAGATGTTGATGTAGAAGTCAGGGTTGACGTCCGACTCGTCGTCGTCCTCGCTCTCGTCGTAGGCCTCGTAGCCCCCGGTGCGGTGGATGAGCGGGGACAGGTCGATGAGGGCGCTCCCGTTCCTCACGGAACACTCCGTCTGTGAAAGGGCAAAGACCTCAGGGGCGTCTGGACCAGGGCCCGCGGCTGCTTGCAGCCGTGTGAGGACGCAAAGCTGACGAAAGGCACCGCCGAGGCGGCCACAGTCCCCAGCTGCTTCCTGACAAAACCCGGGGCCGGTGACAGAGCCGGGCCCGTGGCTGGAGTGGCGGGCCAGGGCCCAGCGGGACTCACCACCTGCTCGCAGGCCAGCGGCGTGTGCCAGGAGAAGAAGAGCGTGCACGTCTGCTTGTCCAGCGAGATGAGCATGGGTCTGTTGGTAGGGCCGGGCTCGGGCCGGCACACGAAGCTGATGACGCTCTTGTAAGTCAGGCCGGTTTTGGAAGGGCAGGGGGACCCGTCCTTGTACACCAGCTGCAGGACCTGGTCCACGTAGGTCAGCCTCTGGTTGGCCTTGCCCACGCTGATCCTGGTCTGCCCGAAGCAGGCGCCTGTGCCGAGGGAGGAAAAGCCACGCGGTCACCCCGCCTGACCACCGTCCCATGAGGACGTGCCGCGAACGCGGGCACCGGGGCGCGCAGCGAGGGCTTTACTGGGGCACCCCGAGCTGTGCTGGCCAGCTCCGCCCAGCTCACGTGCGGCACGGTGCCCCGCGCCAGCGGACGCCCTCGTCTCCTGACTGGCAGGGCGGGGTGGCGGGCGGCACTCACCCACGCCGGGGGGGCAGTTCTCGTTCTCCCCGCAGATGCTGATAAAGACGAGCCCCTTCTCGCTGTAGGCAGCTGTGTGCCCGACTCTGCCCCCAAGGGAGGTCAGGTCGAACAGGTGTCCTGCAGAGGGAGGGGTCCAGGGCACGGTCAGCGCTCACGCCCACAAGGCACGGGCCCCAGGTCTCCGAGCGCACCCCAGCCCTTCCA